GGACTTTGAACTTACCCAGTTCTCCCAGGCCAGGGGTAACTTTCCAGGTCTGATATTTAACATGTGTTTTATGTATAATACAATAGGATTCTTAGCCTGCATCTACCCTGTCACACATCCTTAACATGCTAATTCTTATCTTCATTAGCACTTTTTCTTTTCCATATCTGAGTTGCTTACCAAGCTTAAGAAAGGAAGAGAGAAGCAAAAACTTGTAGATTGTAAGCTCTGGGAGAGCAGGAAATAGGATTGTTTTATTCAGCAATATACAATAATAGATGCTTCACTAATAGTTGTTAGAGGAAGAGATAAATCATCCAACAAGAGCTGTAGCTTCCAATCACAAAGAAGAGAGAGGTGACGGGGGCCTTCCCATTATGGAGGGTTTCTGTAAGCCACTCTTCAATCAACCTGAGGGTTTTCCAAGAAGCCATCCACATCCGTGCAGCCATCCACATCTGTGCATCCTCTGCCACGTGTCATCACATCTCTCTTCAGGCTGCATGACTGCATGGCTCAGGGCATGCTGGATGAGCCCTGCTGGGAGCCTGGGCACTGGGAGATGACCCAAAGCTCGTGCCTTTTCTGACTGTGGGAAAAGGATGGGACTGTGTTCTGCTAATGAGAGGCCCTTTGCATATGTCAAGCTGGATGGTGACCTGAACGTCCTCAGAGTGGCCTCTCCAATGACAATAAAGTGTGTTTTGTTTTTTTAATGAATGGATTTGGTAAAATGTTTTCTTACTTTTTCCTAGACATCGCCTGGTGGTATTACCAGTATCAGAGAGGTAAAAAAGTCTACACTAACTTGACTGTCACATTACTTGGGAAGGAAGAACGTCTCAATCAAGTGTATACTCTGCAATTAGCTTTATTCATCAGCCTTTTTTTTGCCCCTTGCTAGCAAACTTGGTCTGTATTTAAACAGTTAGGGAAGCTCTCTTAGGGATAAGGTTTAGGAAAAACTTTGCTCCTCCTAAGAGACTCATATGTTTTCCTTTCATGGTGATAGAACATCTATAAATAAAACTCAGAGCTGATTCATAGTTTAAGTATGTTAACTCTTTTGAGCAAATGGTCTGAAAATGGTCTGAATTTGTTCTCTCTCTCTCTCTCTCTCTCTCTCTCTCTCTCTCTGTGTGTGTGTGTGTTCTTTTTTCCCAATCTAATCAGTATTTTCTAAAGCAGTTTTTATCTATTTTTGTTTTATTATTTATTTCCTATGATCTCCTTCAAGTTCCTTGTGCAACAAAGTGGAATGTTTAAATAAGCATATCTTGAGGAAATAGACTGAACAAGGCTGGAGGAAGGTAGGTGGGAGGCTAGGCAGGTGCACATCAAGATCCCAAATTCAAATGCCTCTGGACCAGGCAGGTAGCCTAGGTGCATTAAAAGAGCCCAAGGTGAATGACAGGGGGTCCTAGAGGCTCTGGCCACCCAGAGCAACCAGTCCCTGTTCAGCTCTAGTAGACAGTGGTTCTGTGAGATCTGAGACCCTATTTGTCAAATAATCCCATTTTCTAAGAGAAATGAGAAATATAGACTTGGTCATGAATCTCCTGTGTATAAACTTTGGCAACTAATTTTAAAAAATATTTTATTTATCACATATGAAATATTAAAATATATTTATTTTTTAGAATAAAGCCTCTCTTTGGACTACATTCAGTAGCCCACAACTTTGTAGCCTCAAAACTTCATGAATGGCTATAAAGTCCAACCCAGATTTTCCTCTGCACAACATACATACACACACACACACACACACACACACACACACACACAAGAAATTATTTCCTAAGCCACAGAGGAAATGATCAGTCTTTGGTCACAGCCTTTGTCACCAGCCCAACAGAGAAGATGTTTCACTGGGAAGGAGGTATCCTCTATTGACCCCAGCCTGAGCATCTGACATCTGACTTATGTGCAAGTTCAAGGCTTTTTAGGATCAGGAGTACCTCAAGGCTAGTTACAAACCAGCTTGCAATCTATGCTCAAAGGAACTAGAAGTCATTGTAGGGGCACTTGGAAGCCAGATATGATAGAAGAGGCCTGGGCTGGCTAGACTCAAGGTCCAGCTTTGTTACTGTTGACCTGTATGACACAGGCCTCAGACACAAGCAGTTAGTGACAGAGCTTGGAAGAGATCTGTGCCAGAAGTCCTCAGCATGGGCTCCATGCTTTTTAAAGGTACAGGACTCAACTGGAGGAATGAAAAGGGCATGATTCAATACTTTCTTTTTTCATCACAGGGTCTAAAGCTTTCATCTCATGCCCCAAATAACCTTAGACCCTAAAACATTAAGAACCATTTAATCAGAATTATGCACTATTATATCTGGGAATTTCCACTGTAGCATCCTCTAGAGTCAATTGTCTACCCCCACTGGTAGACATTCATTACTTTGTTATTAGGATAACTCTCTTTAAATATTAGGTGGGGAGGGCAATAATCTTCCCATTCCCCACCAGGCACAGGAAAACAGTTGGTATATTTCTTAAAGTACCTTACAAAGAGATATTCTAATTGATTCTTATCATGTAGTAAATTCTATAGTATTAATTTTGACTCAAACTCAATCTGACTTAATAACTGGCTCATCATTGTTTTTAATAATGAAAATAGTAATAGCAGTATTTAGTATATCTAAGACTCTTAAGAACCAAACTGTTGGGTCTGGAGAGATGGCTCAGTGGTTAAGAACACTGGCTGTTCTTGCAGCCCCTACATGGCAGCTAACAACCATCCATAGCTCCAGTTCCAGGAGATCTGATGGCCTCTTCTGTCCTCCTCAGGCATTGCATGACACAGGTGCACTTACATGCAGACAATACACATAAAATGAAAATAATAAATAATAAATAAAATAGTTTAATAAAAAAGAGAACCAAACTGTTGCCAAGCATGGTGGCGCATGCCTTTAATCCCAGCACTCGAGAGGCAGAGGCAGGTGGATCTCTGTGAGATCAAGGCCAGCCTGGTCTACATAGTGAGTTCCAGGCCAGCTGGGGCTACAGGGAGAACCTGTCTCAAAAAGACCAAACAAAAAAAAGAAAGAAATTCCCTTGATTTTATAAGGAATTCCGTCACAGGGAGATTAAGGAATAAGACAATACTACAAAAAAAATCCTTTATTCTTCTGGGTAAGATAAACATTGACCTTCAAAAACTATTTATTTCAAAATATAGTATTTCCTTTTTTCCTTTTTTATATTTTATCATAATTTTGCTGATTCTCCTTCCTTTACTGTGTAGTGCCCTGTGACTCCCTGAGTGGCAGTAGCTGGGATTTATAAACTCCTACAGGCCCTTTTGAAGTTTCCTCAGAATATATGCACAGTTAGATACATAAATTTTTATAAATGTTCTATTAGACCCAGCACTAGGACATTTAAGTCAACTGTTGATTTTTATTTTAGGAGGAATTTAAGATATATATAAAAATACATGTGAACTTTTTTGCATTAAACTCATGTGGGATTTGGGGGCCTTTTCTTTCTGAGAATTGGCCCTTGATTTACATAGAAACCTTCAGTGTTTAGATAATTGATTGGTACTTAGCTCATTAGCTACAAACATAACAATAATTAAAGGCTCTGTAAGAATTATGAGGAAATTGGCCATTTGCCACTCTGTAACATAGAGTATCTTATTTATATTGAATCATCATCCACCTCCCTCCCAGCAGGATTAGGTGATATGTCCTCCAGCACATAAGCAAGATAACAGTTGGGCTTCACTGCCAAGTTACTGGAGCCTTACTCTAGCATCCATTGCCACTGGGATGCTGCATAAGATATAAATTTTAATGAATTTCTTTGGCAATGGGATCAAACTCTCAAAGGTGAAAGTCACAGTTTCAGGGAAAATTTGTCACAAAGAGCCCAATCCTGATTAAAGATATGCCTACAGTTAACACACCTGCTCAGCCTTGTTCTCCAACGCAGACCCAGCGCACCCATCCTCCGAATCCTTATAGTGCAGTGTGGTTTACTTCCCAGCAGCCTGCCCATCTCACCACTGTTTTTGCCAGATGGGATTTACAATTGTTCAATATATGGATTTGGTAATGTCTGTATGACAACAGTGGGCAGAGAAGGTTGGACGGCAAATGATCCTTGACTGAAATAAATTTTTCCTGAAAGCATTCTGGAACCCAAAGGAAAATATTCACTGATCCCTCTGTGAGGCTGAAACAGTGAAACTCCACTGAGTGGTGAACTTGGAGCCGCTTCAGTGGGAGATAAGTAGATTTCTTATTTCAACTGACAGACGCTTTGCAAACAACCAGCGCATCATTAGATCCCGTGGCTGTTCAGAAGCTGGCAGTTAAACCACTGCTTTCCACAGCTGTTTTTAGAAACTTTCAAGTGCCCTGGAAGCCTTTATTTATGCAAAGTAGATCCCATTTAAGTCATTTTTCTACTTAAGGACATCTAGCAGATATTATGAGATAATACACTTTAAAACGTATTCAGATTCTTTAAAATCATATTTAACATGGTGTAACGTGGACTTTCTGCTAAGTCTCTAGCCTTGCCCTAGCTAGCCCACATGACGAGAATCTAAACTCCTTAGAAATTTCGTGATTTATTCCCCTTCACTGTTTGGAGGCTTTCAATCTACTCAGTTACCTGTGTCTGCATACGAAGTGTTTTCAGGGGAAATCAATTTGAATACGTAAAGAGGACATTTTGAAAGAAAGGAAATGTTTTTATGTGGATACATTTTGAACACTTCCACTCTCCTCTCCCTATGTCAGACACTGATGTTCTCTCCCCTTTGCTATCTGTCACACCTAAAGTAACAGAGCAGATAGACTGTGAGATGCAGAGTGACTGGACAGGGAAGTGAGATTCAAGGCTGAGGGTCTTCTGTAGTCCAATCCAATCCATTCCCCAAGTCCCAGCTCACAACACCAATCTTTTGACAGCTCAGACTATGGTCTGACAGATCTACCAAGGAGGCCACACTCCAACGCCATTTCCTCTGCTTCCAGATAAGATCGAAGATGAGCTGGAGATGACCATGGTTTGCCACCGGCCCGAGGGACTGGAGCAACTCGAAGCCCAGACCAACTTCACCAAGAGGGAGCTGCAAGTCCTTTATCGAGGTTTCAAAAATGTAAGACCCCAATAGGCTGTGAAGTCTGCCGTGACTTCCCACGGGAGCTAAGCTCTTTCAATACTAAGGGAATCCCCAGTGTGCGCTGATGCAGGAAGGCCACTGCTGTTGAGGGACCGGAGAGCAAGAGCGCTTGGTGGAAAAGCACGGCTGCAGGAGGAGAAGGCCTCAGCAAACAGAAGCCTCATCCACTGTACAGAAGTGCCACAGGGAGGTGCGGCCCTGGAGAAACCCGCTGGCCCAGGTGCTAGCCATGACTTAACACATTCACACTTTACCCTTTGTTGGTGTGCAGCAAGTGATGGAATTTACCTCTACTGATTTATGCTAATCGTGCTCACAAAAACTAATGTGTCAGCCTAAATGTAACTGTATTCATCTATTTTGGAAGTTAGAACAGTAGGACCAGACCTACTGCTAAGACCTTCCTGTCCCAAGAGCCACATGGAAAGTCAAGTTATTAGCAAAAGTGCATCTGAAGACAGGAAGTTTAAACCCAACTCATCTCTACAAATCCATCCCTGCCTTCTTGGCTAGTTGGGACCTCTCAAATCCCATCCTGAATATAGAATTTTGGCTTAAAGATCACATCTCAGAGCACAATCATATTCCCAGACCCTGGGCTGGGGTGGAGTAGCGGAGATGAGCCTGGGTACCTCCCCACAGGTAGAGTCTGGTCAGTTGTCTGACCACACTGGGATGCAGCCTCCTCCTACAGCTTGGCTGTGCTGGTCACAGGCCCGGCTTATTGACACTGAACTCTTTTTCTTCTGATCTTAAAGAAGCCATGTTAACAGTGGCTAACTAAGAGGGAGCAGAGCCCTCAGAAGCTGCCTGACTGGGCACTGGGCTGAGAGGGGGACAGAAAAGATAAGAGATTCACATTGCTTAGTATCCACTATGGGCTCAGTATCACCTAATATAGACTTCCCCTAGCCCTGTTGGAAAGGAACTGTTAGCCATATTCCACAGGTAAAAGTGTTGAAATCACAGACTGCCTCAGACAAAGTCAGAAAACTTAAAACAAGCTTAATCAGGATCCAAATCCAGATCTTTCTAACCCTAAAGTCCAGACTCTCCTACTTCCTACTCAGTATCTATTCTGTGATGATATTCCCTCATTTACAAGTGATGATGTTCCCTCACTTGCAAAGCAGCTTTCTGTCTCATGGTGGGGCTACCTCCCAGCTCGTTCCTACCCCCAGCTACCCAGTGCACAGATTGCCCAGGCCCTGCCCAAGATAGAGCTTGAGGAACAAGCCTCCTCTGCCTAGTACAGGCCCTCAGGTACCGTCCACTCACTCTCCCTTTCCCACAGGAGTGCCCCAGTGGTGTGGTCAATGAAGAAACATTCAAGCAAATCTACGCTCAGTTCTTCCCTCATGGAGGTGAGTCTAACCTTGAAAAAGATCCTTGCAGCAACCCCTCCAATGACCCTCCCTTTCTCCAAGTCCACTGTCCCTTGTCTGCCTCCTCCTCAGGCTTGGAGAATTCGTGGCAAGATTTTCCCCTTACCATAAGATATGGGATTCTCTGCAGAAATATTTGGACCCACTAGCAGGAGAAGAATTATAGGTAATGCTGTATCAGAAAGTCTTGTAACAGTTTTAGAAAGCAAGTGTCATGATCCCAGAAGGAACAACTGAGTTTCAGAGACATTAAGCAATATACCCAACATCACACAGCTGGCATATAGCAGAGCAGGACAGATAAGCATCTGGGGAAAGGCTTTGCCATCTGGTTCAGCTCACCTTTTTTCCCTTAAACAGCTGAGACAAGTGAAAAGTTTAAAACAAAAGCTCTAGTAAATACTAGAAACTTTTTAAAAAATCAGTGAAACCCCTGCCAAAATGTGGGCAGCATGAAGTCGTGCTTATAAAGCCAGATTAGCAAAGCTGCTTGAGCCCCAGCACCTGCTCTATGGACAGCGGCTCTGCCTGTGGACCTTAGACCATGATAGGGAGTCCTTCCTCCTGTGACCTCAACCATTGTAGTCACAGAGTCAGGACTAACAGAGGAGGCTGAATTCACTTGTGTTGCATGCCACCTTGCATCCTGTCCCCAGGGGCCATCTCCTGCAGAACTTGGGTCCTAACAAAGTAGAGACTGAAGCATCCCAAACCCTTCGTAGGCCCTATTTATCATGGGCCTTTTCAGCAGCAGCAGACAGGTACCTCCCTAGGTGTGGGACTCAGTGCAGGGTCTTTCCTCATGGTAGGGGGATGCTGCTTCATCTGAGGCTGGCACCAGCCTCCCAGTTTATGCTGCTCCTCAGAGACACTAATTGCTGAGTTTTCACTATGTGGCAGGGGTGGCTCTAGTTTAATGTACTTCACATGTTTCAAAAAATTGGTCTTACTATATTCCATGGTACAGAGATGTGGCAGGGAAGCTCAGAAAGGTTGCATTAGATGTTTACAGGCTCAGCTCTACAAAAACACATGTCTCTGTTCCCAAGGGAATGCTCTTGCCAAGGCCTCACAAACATCTCATTGCAGTCATCATGCCATTCACCCACCAGAGATCACACATAGAAACACCAGGGGAGCCATTCTTGAGATAACTGGGTGGAGAGAGAAACAAGGACCCATCTGACCTCTTGCTAGAACTAACTTCCCATCTAAACTTCAAGGGTTGAGCAAATAGGTCTCAGTCCATTATTTTTTCCTATCTGTGACCCTCTACTCTTTCTGGCCCCTCCCTGTTTTCCAGTGATGTCTTTCCCCTCTGTGGAGCCTTGGGCACCCCCCTCACCTGCCCTCCTTTCTGCCTTTCAGATGCCAGCACATATGCCCATTACCTCTTCAATGCCTTTGACACTACCCAGACGGGCTCCGTGAAGTTTGAGGTACACAGGTCTCCTGGGTTCATTCTGATTCCACATTGCCTCTTCTTTCAAATCCAGGGACTCTGGGGGAAGGGTTAAACCATCAAATACCCTCAGTCAAGACAGAAGTTTCCCAAAGACACAAAAAAGAAGCAACTTGCCTCCAGGCACCAGGAGTGAGGTGTGGTAAACACTAAATATCAAGTTTAAGAGCTCACCAGTGCTCTGCGTGCTGGGTGGCAGCCTCTGGACTTAGCATTTTGCATTTATTAATTCATTTAATTTTCATAGTAACCCTACCAAGGTAGGGTTGTATTATATATTATAATATTTTTATAAGAGAGGGAAATAAAGCAAAGTGAGACTAAATAGCTTTTCCAAAGTCAAAGAGCTAACAAGTCGTCAAAGAGGCATTGGAACACAGGCAGTGTGTTTCCTCAGTGCATGCTTACAGCCACTGGAACATACATATAGGCCTCAAATGATAAGCAGCCATTGAGGGTCAAGATGAACAGAGGAGGCTGGATTGACCCTCTGCACATACAGAGCTCCCTTCTTCCTCAAAAGGCACCTACCAGAAATCAGGACAGTGTAGACATAGGGATTGGAGAGCAGGAGTTCTTCTCTGGGATTGGTCAGATTCTTCAGGCTGGCAAGAGGACATAGGGGGCACCATTTTGTAAAAGCATCATCATCTGACCTGGAAGCCCAGCTTCTCTCTACCGAATGGCTCAGCGATTAATGTTAGTTACTTCCTGCCTTTTCTATGTCTTAGGACTTTGTGACTGCTCTGTCGATTTTACTGAGAGGAACGGTCCATGAGAAACTAAGGTGGACATTTAATTTGTATGACATCAATAAAGATGGCTACATAAACAAAGAGGTAAGTGAGCTGCGAGCAGGGAGCATGAGATAAGTGCAATGCAGGTGCGGGAATCAAAACCAACCCCAATGCCCAGGAAAATACTGAGACGGGGTTCGGGTCTCCTAAAATGAAGAAGGCCACCTTTGATCTCCCTGCTGCCCCACCCTCCCTGATACTCAAGAAAGTGTTAAGCACCTTCTTTCTCACAGTTTACATAGATTCAATGGGCTGTGATTAGGTTGTTTCAGTGTTGAGTTACTTTCCCCTAGGTGATCTGGATTTGAACCAATTAGCAGTCACACCTCCACAGTCAAAGCTCAGATTTTGAAGGCATACAGACAGAGCCTAGAAGAAAACAGAGATGTTTTTAAGGAAGAGACAACAACCATCAGATCCCAATTGGCCACAATCTATTCTGCCTAATACAGTCACAGAAGGGAAATGACTGGGGCTGGGGGAAAGGGCTGTCTCTAAACTGTTATCCCAAAGATGTTCAGAATCTTTACTGCTTGACTCTTAGAGCCTCAGTACATGTGTTTAGGCAGTGACCTGCTCATGGCCTATCTCACAACTCACCTCACTGTTTACTATATCTTGGTTTGTCATTGAGGCTTGAAGTTAGCATCAGGTCATCTGCTTGCTGAGATCCTACATCTCTGGCATGGTGCCTAGAGTTGAGACCATCACCTTTCACCTCAACCCTGCAAGATTCTCTTCATATAGAGGGAGAACTCACACTGTGTAAACCCAGCCTCGACTCCCCCCCTTCATTAGCCTTGTGTTTGCTCAACACAGACCTAAGAACTCATTCAGTTTCTCAGGTGCTAGAGACAAAGAGGTAAACAAGCACACCAGCCCTATCTTTCATGGAGCAGGGAAGAGGGACAGACAACAATAGCAAAATGTAGATAAACAGGTAAAAGATGTTTGGTTAAGGATGGTCAGCAAGGGCCTAAGAAAGTATTGCCATACAGGAGCAGTCACACACAATCCAGGAGAAGTATTCCAGACAGGAGGTCACAAGAAAGGCTCTGAAGTAAGGCATGCTGTTGGCCGCAGGCTGGGGTAAGAAAGAAAAGATAAACAGGCCCAAGAGGAAGCCTAAGGCCATCAGACTCAGATGGTGGAAGATGAGGGTGGACAGCTCACTCTACCTCCTGGGAGTTGCTAGTGGACAGAGCTTTTGAAAGCCACTAAGTACTAAAATAAGAGAATAAGAAAAATCAGCTTGTATCAACAGAAATTGAATCCACAAATTAAAAATTCCAAGAAAAGTTTAGGCCTCCCAGATGACTTCCTGGTGACTTCTAACACAAATCCTACAGAATTGGATGAATGGAACACAGTAGGTTCAGCAATTCCTTAATACCCAAACGAGAAAAGAAACGGTCTTAGAGAAAAGAAAACTGAGAGTCAGTATTTCTCATCATTACAGATGCACAAGGCTTTATCAAAATATTAGCAAATTGAACCCATCAATATATAAAAAGGAGTGCATATATCACTAAGCGAGGTTTATTCTAGGAATGCAAGGTTGGTTTAACATTCAAAGAAATCACTGGGGGAACTGAAAGATGACTCAGCAATTAAGATCACTGACTATTCTTCCAGAGGACCCAGGTCAGAATCTCAGCACCCACGTGGTAGCTAACAACCATCTAAAACTCCAGTTCTAGGGGAATCTGATGTCCTCTTCTGACCTCCACAGGCATTGCATGACATGGGTGCACTAACATACCTGCAGGCAATACACTCATACACATAAAATAAAAAATAGAAAAATATTTTTTAAAAGAGAAATCAATGTTATTCACTCTATCCACACAATAAAGGAGAAAAGCAATATATTGATTCAGTAAATGCATAAAAGCATTTGACAAAAATCACCACCCATTTGTGGTAAAGTTCTCAGCAAACTAAGAGTAGAGGGTGATTTTCTCAGTCTATTATAGCATAGATACTTTTTGAAAAATCCCACAAATAATATCTGCTTAATAGTAAAAGGCTGTATATTTCCCCCAAGGTCCTGAATTAAACAAGGAAGCTAAGGAAAGAAAAAAGTAAAATGAGAAAAAGTGAAGTGATGTTGGTTGGAAAAGTGGAAAAGAGCTTTTTTTTTTTTTTTTTTTTTCCGCGTTTTTGAGACAGGGTCTCCCTGTAGCCCCAGCTGTCCTGGAACTCACTATGTAGACCACGCTGGCCTCAGACTCACAAAGATCTGCCTCTGCCTCCCAAGTGCTGGGATTAAAGGTGTGCATCACCATGCCCAGCTAAGAGCCAATTTTTTGATCTATAATGATAAGATTGTTCTTTGGGTGCAGAAGGGCACAACACAATGCACATATGGAGGTCAGAGAACAATTTGTGAGAGTTGGTTCTCTCCTTCCACTATGTGGGTCCCAAGAATTGAACTCAGGTCATCAGCCTTCGGGGCAAGCATCTTTACCTGCTGAGCCATCTCATATGCACTGGAATGACTGCAATGAAAAAGAATGACAGGCAACACCAAGCGTGGGCAAGGATGTAGAGCAGTTAGACACACTCATACATTGCTGGTGCAAATATAAAATGGTACAGATGTCTTAGAAAGCAATTCATCATCTTAAAGATAACAAGCATTTAACATATGACCCAGAAACTCCACTCCCATGCATTCATCAAAAAGAAACAAAAGTATGTAATTCCATTAACACCTATGCAGAGATGTCCACAACAGCTTATCCACAGTAGCCTCCAAACTAAAAGCAGTCCAAATATCTGTAAGTGAGACAGCGGGTAAGCATGTTGGAGTATATCCAACCAATGGATTGCTGTTCAGCAGCAAAGAGAAACAAATTACTGTTATGTGCAAAAGTGCACATGAATTTCATAAGCATTATACCCATTAAATATAGACAGGCTGACTTTATACAATAGCATTCCATTTACATCAAATTCTAGAAAATTAAAACATCTTACTTAAGTGACAGAAAGTTCATCGGCACCTGTGTGATGCCAGAGACTGGCAGACGGTGCAGAGGCAATAAAGAAATGTCTCGAGGTGATGAGAATAATCCAGATGTGAGTGTGTGGAAGTGACACAGTTGCGCACATTTGCCAGAATTTATCAAGCAGGACACTTAAAACAAATGAATTTGCTATAACCAAATTATGCTCCAATAAATTTGATTTCTTTTTAAAAAGAGAGCTCATTATAAGATGGAACTGCCTAGAAGATGAAAAGTGCTCAGAAACATGCTAAATGAAAACAAAATCATGCTAAAACATCTTAAAAAGCAAAGAAAACAGGGGTCCAATCTCACATAAAATACAGATCACAAATTATAAATGAAATGCCACGAATTAATCCTAACACTCTAGTTAAAGAAACACACATGACAAGGATAAGGTTTATTGAAGGAATAATTCAATAATAGACAAAGCCTATTAAATAATTCATCATATCAGTAGATCAAAAGATTAAGCCATATGATTCTAAAAATCACATTCAATAACATTTACCATCTATTCTTGATCATTTTTTTAAACTCTTAATAAAACAGGGAAAAATACATCTTCAGCACAGTAGAAAATGCTCTAGCCTGATACACAGCTTTGCACTTCATGGTGTCATCTTGAAGGTCCTGCGGCTGGAGAGACAACTCAGCAGAGGACCAGGGTTCGGTTCCCAGCACCCACATAGCAGCTAACAACCACCTGCAACTCCAGTTCCAGGGAATCTGACACCCTCTTCTGGTCGCTTCAGGCACTGTACATACCTGGTGGGTGTGCTTACATACATGTAGGCAAAACACCCACACATGTAAAATTTAAGAAAAAAAGAGATACTTGATTATAACACACATGAGACAAGAACACACACTACTAAGCTACACTGTCTGCCAATGCTTCTGAAAATTCTTCAAATACAGTGAGACAGAAATATGCATACAAGAAGCTGGGATAGTCTTTGCTAATGACAGTGTTTTCTTTCTTTTTCTTTGTTTATTTAGTTATTTATTTGAAGCAGGATATCACATTGCAGCTCAAGCTGATCTGGAACTTTCTGTGTCGCCTAAGCTGGCCACGAACTCATGATGATCCACCTGCCTTAGCCTCCTGAGTACTAGAGTTACAACTGTGAGCCAGCAATTATATGATTTTCTATTTGGGAAAATAAACGAGAGAGAGAAAAACAACTTAAACAATAGAACTAAAAACTGATACCAGCCAGGTGTGGTGGTGCACGCCTTTAATCCCAGAACTTAAGAGGCAGAGGCAGGCCAGCCTGGTCCACATAGCAAGTCCCATGCCAGCTGGGGCTTACAGGGAGACCCTGTCTCAAAAACAAGCAAACAAACTGGCACAGTGCAATTAACATACACAAAAAAATTGATTGACCTGTAACACTGTAACAGAGATATTCTAATTATACAACAGTAAAATTTACCATGCATTAGCATTTTTAAATACCCATAATTTAAATGAAGAAAAAGTTTTCTAAGAAATACAAAAAAGTATTGAATAAGTGGAGACACACGCCATTTTCTGAAGGGAAGTGTATTGTAAGGATGGCAATATATATATTTTTTGACACAGTGTCTCCCTGTAGCCCCAAATGGCCTGGAACTCATTATGTAGACCAGGTTAGCCTTGATCTCACAGAGATCCATCTGCCCCTGCCTCCCAAGTGCTGGAATTAAAGACACGCCCAGCCTAAGGATAGCAATATTGTAAAGGCAGCCATTTGTCTCTAGTTAATTTTAAGTTCATTTGTTTATTCCTAAAGTGAAAGTGTTGTTTGGGGAGAATGAACATAAAACCGGCACATTGGAAGAGTCATCAGATGAGAATGGAAAACATACTTTTCAAAAATAAAAGTGAAATAAATTATAAAGCTGCACTATTAAAATATCATGATATGAGGGGGTAGGTGGATGGTGGGTAGAGCAGAAGGGGAAACCCAGGTCCAAATAATCATCTGCTTTACAATAAAGAGGGCATTTGGAGTAGAGAATAAACAGAGAATTAATAATTAAATAGATGCTTCCAGGGAAACTGGTCAGCTATAACATTTTAGCAATAAATAACTGAATGTTCTGAATGCCGCACATATAAGTTAATCATAGATACGCTGGTGATTTCTAACTATAAAAGAACCATAAAAGTCATGCTTAAATATCTGAACAGAATGGGAGAATACCAAATCAAAATTTAAATACAAAGAGAAGCATTGATAGCTTCATTATATATATTTTTTAATTTTGTATCTCCAAAAAATAAAGTGTGGGTGGCAGGGGGGGGCTGGAGAGATGGCTTAGCAGCTAAGAACACTGACTGCTCTTGCAGAGGACCTGGGTTCAATTCCCAGTACCCACATGGTGACTGACAACCATCCGGAACTCCAGTTCCAGGGAATCTGACACCCTCTTCTGACCTCCATGGGCACTGTATGACACAGGTGCACTTACATACATGCAGGCAATACATTCATACACATAAAAAATAATTAATAAAATAAACAAAATAAAAAATAAAGTGGGAAAGCAAGTATCAAAGCAGTTGAAATACCTACAGCTTGTAGAAAGTGCAGTCTCTCCTCACTAGATGCCCATCAACAAAAGCCTCACATTTGTAACACCTTCTTCTATAGTTCCTTGATACAATATCTAGCATATGATATATACTTTTAAATGCCTTACAAATAAAAAATCTTCAAAGTAGGGGCTGGAGAGATGTCTCAGCAGTCAAGAGCACTAGCTGCTCTTTCAGAAGACCCAGGTTCAAATCCCAGCTAACAACCATCCATAACTCCAGTTCCAGGGGAATCCAACACCCTCTTCTGCCCTCCGAGGGCACTGTACAACACTGGTGCACTTACATGCAGGCATAACACTCATACACATAAGATTAATAAATAAATAAATCTCCAAGGTATAGAAAGGCTCTCACAACCAAATCAAAAACAAACACTAGTAACAAAGTAGATGAACAAGTAGTGCATGAGAAATGCACTAGAAACAGTCACCATGTACATTAAGACCTTCATAAAGAAGAAAAGCTCCTGAAGCAATGAAATGTCTATTAGATCACAGACTCTAATTTTTTATTTTAATCTAAAAAAATTTAGGATGTATTTATTTTTATTTTATGTGTATGAATGTTTTGCCTGCATGTAAGTGCACCACATGCATGCAATGCCTGTGGAAGCCAGAAGAGGGCACTGACACTCCCCCCCCCCCCCCCCAGGAACTGGAGTTGCCCATGGTTGTTAGCCACCACGTGGGTGCAGGGAACCAAATCTGGGCCTTCTGCAAGAGCTTAATCAAGTCATCAAGGCTAACAACACCAATCACAAGACCTAGCCACACCATGTGCCTCCCTGACAGTGCAGTGAGGTTATAACATCACTTCTACAGCATCTGTGACCCAAAGATAGAACTTCACTCAGTCCCAAGCTGAGAGGCACGCTATGAAACTGACCAGAAGTCCCATCAAACATGTCTAGGTCCACAAGACACTAAGGATATACAGCTCGATATAATGTGGATTTTCAAATAAAAAATTAAAAAAAGACTTTAATAGGGCCGAAGAGATGGCTCAGCAGTCAAGAGCACTGGCTGCTTTTTACAAAAGACCCGGGTTCCTTTCTCGGTACCCACATGGTGGCTAACAACCAGCTACAAGTCTAGTTCCAGAGGATCTGACACCCTCTTCTTGCCTCTACATGTACTACATGCATGTGATAGACTTATATACATGTAGGCAAAACACTCATACACATAAAATAAAGTAAATAAATTTTTAAAAATAAAGATAAACTCTATGGTTTAGTTAATAATACTGCAGCAATGGTTTTAACCATTTTTTTGTAGTTAAACAAGTTTTAACATTAAAGAAAACTAAGTAGACATGAACCTTTTCCACTATCTCTGTCATTTTTTATACATCTAAAAGTATTAACAATGGGTTTTTGTCAAAAACCTGAAGTATCCTTAGACACTCCTGGCTATTGACTCCTTTGTCTTAATTTAAAACAGCAAAATAACTTGTGAGGATTTTTTTTAATCTCTAAGCTAAAGTGCTAACTTTTCTTTAATTCGGAATAGTGTTTCATCTGCCTCAATCTATGAATGGGGAACCTAATGTCACCCCTCACTGAGGACAGAGCCTGGGAAGAGATAATCTGCCCAAGAGCTCCAGAAGGCAGGAAGGACTTCCCACTTCCTCTGAGGAGGGAGTTCCAGCTTGTCCTCTGACTCCCATTCATCTACTGGAAAGGTTCTCTTAATCACATTCATCAGCCAGAAGTCCAAAGATCTCTAAACTCTGTTCGCTAAGAAGAGTTTGACCTCACAGTCTCAACACTGTGTCCCTCCATGCCCCCCCCCCCAGGAGATGATGGACATTGTCAAAGCCATCTATGACATGATGGGGAAATACACCTATCCTGTGCTCAAAGAAGACACTCCCAGGCAGCACGTGGACGTCTTCTTCCAGGTAACTATGTGCCTGTGCCCCAGCTTGTATGGACCTGGAGGAATACATGCTCTTGTGAAGCAGACGAGTGTATGTTATAGAAGAGAACTGTTAAATACATTATCATTAACTGTAAGTCGTATAGGACAGACCAGAAATTTTATAAAAATTCTTAGAATCTGAGTAAATAGAGTAGACCTCAATGATCACATTTGTTTAAGTATTAAGCCCTTTGGTCTAAGCTGTAGGAGGGAATAAAATTGGAAACTAGGATAAGGCCAGATTGTATGATCGCTAAGTGGAACTCAGCCTTGTTCTAGTAAGGGTTGTGTGGCTACAGCAACAGTTGAATGGAAGTGGCATCATCAGAGACAGCATTTGGTAAATATGTACATATATACACATTTATATGCATACACATATATTTACTAAATGTATATATGTACATATAGATATGTAGAGAGAGAAGTCTAGCTGTAGAAAATCAAAGGATGTCAGAGTTCTCAATGGTCTCTTGAAAACTTGCACAATTATTAACAGAGATAGACCAGAACTTCTCGTGCCCAGTGCTCTTTCTTCCAAACAGGCCAAAAGCAGATGTGTAGAACACACGTGCTATTGTTTGGAGATGGTTTGAGTGTGTACTCTAGGGGTTCATATGTGGTTACCTGGTCCTTGGTGTGACAGTGTTGAAGGTGGTAGAAATCTCTGATGGGTGAGCCTGGCGGGAAGTGATTAGGTCCTTGGGAGCATTACCTCAGAGGGCTGAAGCTCTCATGAGAGTGAGTTAAACAAGTTAAACTGGCCCCTCCTCATTCTCTGGCTTCTTTTTTTTTTTTTTTTTGCTGTGACCTTTTCCACATGTGTTCCCACCATGAAGATGCCAGCCTCCCTGAGGCCCTCACCAGAATCAAAAAGAAGCTGCTGCCATGCTTTTGAACATCCAGAACTATGAACTAAATAAGCCTCTTTTCTTTATATAGTACCCAGCCTCAGTTATTTTGTTATGGTAACAAAAAAAGATTACTACAACATGTTAGGATGTCAGCATGATAATAATATAGCAATGAGGTAAGTGCCTGGGACCAATCCTTCCATCATATTATAACCAGGGGTCAAGTGGCTGACAAAGACCACCTTAATTCTCAGATTAATAAAAAGCAAATTCTGATATGCAAATTGCCAGGTTCTTCAAAGGCTTCTCTATTGTGTCTTTCAGAAAATGGACAAAAATAAAGATGGCATCGTAACTTTAGATGAATTTCTTGAATCCTGTCAGGAGGTAAGGAGAGATCTCAAGGCATAATGTCTCTAAATCTGGGAAAGGGAATCTGGGGCCTGAAGGGCTGTGTCCCCTGGACTCAGAGACAACAACATCCACAACATCAGCAGCAGCTCAAAAGGCCAGACACCTCCACTCCTCAGCCTGGCCTGCTCAGAGCAAGGCTGAGCAGGTCACCCATGTGTGGGTCTGGGAGATGTGAGCACCCAGAGTAAGTCTCCTTAAAATGAGATTTGCCAAACAGGAAGCCCAGCCTTGTTCTTTTCAGTGCTCTGTCTTTATGTCCCCTCCTCAGACTACCTGAGAGTCTCAATCCAGTATACATAAAATTGCCTGCAGTTACTCATTCTAAAAATATGTATTTTCAGACTGTGTTCCAAGACACCCTAGAAGTAGGGTCTAGAAATTGCCATCATGATACAAATGTCCCATAGCAAGCCTGCTAAACCTTATATGTGAAAACCAGTCTCCTTGAGGATCTTGTTAAAATAGACTCGGGGTGGGCATGTGGCAAATGCATTCAATCCAAGAACCCAAGAGGCAGAGACAGGCAGATCTCTATGATTTCAAGGCCAGCCTGGTCTACAGTGAGTTCCAGTCCAGCCAGGGCTATATACCTTGTCTCAGAAAAAAAAAAAAGTACAAACTGGTCTTCCACAGGTCTGAGACAAGGCCTGTGTTGCTCACATTCCCCAGGAGACCTGTGTGACTGCTCCCTGGTCCACACTTGGTTAAATCTAATGAATTGACTGGCGCAAGTTTCCCTGCCAGATACTGAACTAGAAACAATTGCTTCATCTGCTTAAAAGTAATGGATTTATGCCTCCACCTCATTCCACAAAAGCATAACCTGAGCTCCACCCAAGAACTGCAATGCAAGAAAGCAAAGGAGACTGTATTAGCACACAATGAACACCTACCAAGCCTCAGGCTCATCAAAACCCATGAGGCAGGAGCTCCACATACATGATGGTGCTCCAGATAGTTAAAGATCAGAACAAACTGAACACTGACCACTTCTAACTGATATTTACCATTGTCCTACAGGATCCCTGTTGACTTTGGTATTTTACCCATTAGTTGATAGATCTTTGGGTGGTTCAAGGATCCTGAGCAAGGTACCAAGTAGCCAGGAGGAAAGATGCTGAGGTAGAAAGTCATGGGCTTTACCTGTAGGGTTAGAAATGTTTTAACATTTAATCATTACAAATAGATTAAACAGCAATATCTATATATCTATTGTACCCTTTTTAAGAAGAGAAGACTGAGGCACAAGATTAAGGGGTGTGGCTAATGCTACAGTAAGTGACAGGTGGAGCTTAAGTTCTGTCATTTTAAATTCAGACACCATGTCCTATCAAGTGATCTTTCTTTGCTTCCCAAATGACAGAGGTTTTAAATCTCATTTCTCACATCAGCCACTTCCACAGCTTTTTACTGCATAACTCATCCCTTCTCTACCACTACCCCATAGACAGATACTCTACTCAACTCCACTTCATTCATATACATAGAAACCAAGACATAGAAAGGTAAGTTACACAGCCAATAAGTAACAGACCTAGGACTTGAGCGCAGGCTGCCTAACTCCAGAATACACAGCAATTTATGAAGATCCAGATCCTCAGAATCAACGTGTCTCTATAGATTTTCTCTATCAGAAGTCTGCTGTTTGGAGAGATGGCTAAGCGGTTAAGAGCACTGGTTGTTCTTGCAGAAGACCTGGGTTCGAATCCCAGCACCCACATGGCAGCTAACAACTGTCCATAACTCCAGTTCCAGGGGATCTGACGGCCTCTTCTGACCTCCATGGGCATTGCACAACATGGGTACACTTACCTACATGCAGGCAATACATGCATATACATAAAATAATAACATTTATTTAAAAAATAAGTCTGCTTTCTCAACCCTAATTAAATCCAGTGGGTCTCATACACATAAAGACAGGAAGGCAGGGGAAGAACTTGTTGGGAAGAAGAGGGGATTTAGTGGGAGTGGGTAAGAGGTGTAAGGGGGCAAATACAATCACAGTATTTGTATACATAAACAAAAACCTTTCTAAAATAAAATAAAAGGGGGAAAAGTCTATTTTCTATCTCAGTCACCTGTAATTTAAATTATTTTCTTGCTTTTGCTTTTTTATTTTTAATGTTCTACAAGAGGTTTTTTGGTTTTTTTTTTGTTTTTTTTTTTTGTCTTTTTGAGCTAGGGTCTCCCTGTAGCCCCAGCTGGCCTGGAACTCACTATGTAGACCAGGCTGGCCTTGAACTCACAGAGATCTGCCTGCCTCTGCCTCCCAAGTGCTGGGACTACAGGTGCGCACCACCACGACTGGCTTTTTATGGTCTTTTTGAGACAGGTTCTCCCTGTAGCCCCAGCTGGCCTAGAACTCTCAATGTAGACCAGGCTGGTCTTGAACTCAGAGATCCATCTGCCCCTGCCTCCCAAGTACTGGGATTAAAGGCGTGTGCCACCACACACAGCCTTCTCCAAATTTTTTAGATAGATGTTTATATCATTGATTTGACAACTATTCTTTTCTAATATATGTCTCTACTCAGGGCGAGTTCCCCAGTACTTCTTCAACTGAGTACTGCTTTAGAGCCCAGAAATTTTGGTATGTCATATTTTTTGCTATATTTTAATTCAAAAATTGGAAGTGCAAAGACTTAAGGACTTTCTACTTTGAATACTTATACCTTAAAATACATTATGGAAAAATGTAAAATAGAGACATACAATAATACAAAGTCAAGAAATCTCTCTTTGAAGAAAATTAATCAAATTGATAAGTGCTTATCAAGACCTCTTTTCTCTTTTGAATTCCTCCTGAACACCAGAGAATGTGCTTCTGATCTTGAGTTGATCTCTTCCTAGCTCCATGCCCTTATTTCCTGCTTCTAGTATTATTACAGATTTCTTCTTGCAGAAGAACCCCACTCTTGAGGTTTGCTAAGAGTCAGGGAGCCCTCAGGCAGGAGCCTCAGACAGTTCTAACCATCCTCTCTTCCCCTCCTCTCTTCCCAGGATGACAACATCATGAGATCTCTCCAGCTGTTCCAAAATGTCATGTAACTAGGGACACAGCCATCTTGCTCTCAGAGACACTATACTGAACAGCCACCTTAACACCCTGATCTGCCCTCGTTCTGATTTTACACACAACTCTTGGGACAGAAACACCTTTTAAACTTTGGAAGAATTCTCTGCCGAAGACTTTCTACAAAACCTGGCATCATGTGGCTCAGTCTCTGATTGCCAGCTCTTCCTCCTTCCTCTTCTTGGGAGAGACAAGCTGAAATTTGAGTTTGTTTTGGAAGCATGCCCATCTCTTCACTCTGCTGCCCCACGGAAGGCCCCTCTCCTTGAGCTTAAACAGTAGTAGACAGTTTTCTGCTTACATGTCCCCAGCCTTGCCTCCAAGTTAGGCAGACCCTGATGAATCTGGAAGTCAGAAGACCTGAGCCAATGTACACCATCCTCTAATGGCCCCCCAAACCAATGTGCCTGTTTCTCTTCCTTTGGTAGGAAGAAAGAGCATTATACAGAACAATTAGAGCCTACCATGGTGACTGGGAGAGGCAGCACTTAACACATGTAGAACAGGACTGAATTATTAAGCATGGCATTATCTGATGACCCAAACTGCCCGTGTCATTTGTTTTCAGGGGCAGAGACTAATAATCCTCCCACACTAGCATCTGTGCTAGTAAAGCAAGTTGCTTCCCATGTCCAGGAAGGGAGCCATCACCCAGTCGTCTATCTCTCTTCTCCATCCCCTGCTCAAGCCCAGCACTGCATGTCCTGCCCAGAAAGTCCAGAATGCCTGCAAAATGCTGTACTTTTATACCATGTTCTAATCAATAAACAAAACTATTTCTTACACTCTCAATCATTTTTTTTCATGATTCCATTGGGCAAGAGAGGTAAGTTGAGACAAGGGAAGGTTAATCTATTCATTTGCTTCCAGTTTCTAGTACTTTCTTGTGGCCAGGCACTGTGCTAGGCAGTGACATCACCCCTAGACCATCCTAAACAATATATAATCCAAATGCAGATACTGTGACCATATACAAATACAACTTCAGTCAAGCCCCTTCACAACACCTGCCTTCTAATAAGATTGCCCCTCCTAAGACTCTATAGTAGAAAGCCCAGAGCCATGAGATGCTGTTGAGGATACAGAGCTGGAAAGGAGGACAGGACTTCCTGCTGAAGGTGTGGAGTCCAAAGACGGATCAAGCAGCTTTATCTTATAACCATAAGATGATTACTTAAGCTGAATACCATTTCCCATTTGGTCTCACATTGAAATCATTCTAAATGAGCATTCTTCGAAAAGAAAATTTATAGGAAGAAGCCCTGTATCTGTCAGGCACTGCACTACAAGCTTTATACATTCTCTTATTTCATGCTCATGGTAGAATATTCTAGAAGGTAGAGTTCTAGTTTTACTGAGGCAGCCCCTGAAGCTCAGAGAGGTAAGGGGACTTCCCTCAGCACTCCCACACTATGAGAGGACTCTCTTGCCACCAAGAAACTGAGGGTATTTCCCACAGATCTCATTCGCCTGCAGTCAGTTAAGGGAGATATGAATAGTCTTTGAACCCACATAGCAGATGAGGAAACAGGGAGAAGAGGAATGTGTCAAGAAGCTGTAGACTCTAGCAGGGGCCACCACAGCCTCTGCACGTATGAGATGCTCCTAGTCTGGCGGCCACTGGCTATCTTCTTTTCATAGTTGGAAACTCTTGGATCCACAAGCTCTGTTTCTCTATTTGGGCTTCATGAGTATAGCCATGTGACCCCCTCTAAGGCTGCTAGACATGTGACTTGCTCCCCACCAGGAATCCTCCTCCACCCAAGCAGAGTCTCTATAATCATGGCCCTTCATATGCAGCCTGGGTCAGTGGTTCTCTGCACTGGACACACCTCACAGAAACTTGAGGAACTCTTGAAAAGTGCCAGCGCCTGTGCCACACTCCATATCAAAATAGAATCTCTGAAAGTGAGGCCTGGGCATCAACTTTATTTAGAAACAACCCAGTGTATATAGGGATAAATGGGAAACTGACCACATCCAGTTCTAGAGTGGTGATCTGGGCCATCCAGGGCCATAATGACTGGCTCAGGGGAAGGACTGAGGCCTGAGCTAGCTCAAACAGCATGAATCTCAAAACTAGCACTAGAAATAATAGGACAAGACTGTTTTTTCCCTTACTGTGCATAAAGAAGACAGCACATATCCTAGGACACTGCTGGTAACTATTTAGAAATTATGAGCATCTGTCTGCTAACCAAAGGGATAAATAGGCAGATATTATATAAGGCAAAACAGAGATAGGATTATAGCAACAGAAATTGAGCCCTTAATGACACTGAGCTGTTGAATCAAGCTGTACATGAAGCTAGACATCTCTGACCTTCTCATATGTTTGTTTAGGAGTTTACATAAGGTCTAGCTGAGAATTTCATATCACATCATAACCATATAGGGAACAGAGAATGGGGCATTTTTTTTTTTTGAGTACTAAATGCAGGAACATTCTAGATGAATTGGTTCAGAATCTCTAGAGGTGGGGCCCTGACCATCAGGCCACTTTAAAGCTCTCCAAGTGACAACCTGGGTTCAGAAGTTCTGCTCTAGGGTAGAGAAAACACTGGTACCTTTTCCCTGTGATATCCAGACTACAGGTCAGAAACCAAAATGAGCCCTGAGCACCCAACATTGAGAGGAAAATCAGCAACCAGGCATGTTCAGACAGAATTCAGAGTGTGTTGTAAATTCAAAGCATTCTTCAGCACAAAGGGAAATGGCTCTCAGGGCATGGGGCACTGTTCCATCTCCAGCTTATCCTCCCAAGTTATCCAATTTGCCAGTCATTGCACCTGTTGTTGGGCACTCAGCTGTGTACCAGACTCTGTGGCTGTCTTGCCCACATTCCCTCAGAACTCACCATTGCTGTGCATGGGGCGTTCAACTATATGTGTCAAGACTTTTTGTGCGTGACTGTCACAGATACACTCGGGTCATGAAAGCTGCACTCTGCCTGTGGATAGGGTAGGTCAAAATAATCAGGTCATCAACATCTGTACACAGAGGTCCCAGTGACTGCTGAGATTTGGTAGATTAAGACTACATCCCTCCCCTCTCAGTAGGAGGCCTTGGAGGCCTCTTCTGTCTCCTAGTGTCCCCAGTAGCACTGCCTCCAACTGCCAGTAACATACAATGAGTTGGATAGGCTTGTGTCCTGCCTTCATGAGCCTTATAGTCTAGTGAGCGGAAACAGACCACAAATTATTTTAGATGAGATGGGATGAAGAGAGTAAGTGTGTATGGTGATTGCAAGACGGGGGTGACTACTTTATACAAGGCAGTAAATAAAACTTCTCTGAAGAGCAGGTAGCTCAGCTTCCTGTTACCCCAGGTTAAGAAATTCTCTGCACAGCTATTGAGAGCCTTGCAGATGCTTAGATACGACTTGAACGTGTCTTCCAAATATTCATGCGTTGGAACTGTGGCTCTCCTGTGGTGAACAGGACAGGGTGTTGAGCTCTTTAAGATGGGGGTATACAAAGTAACTAAGTCACTAGTGGTTCCAACCTTGGGAGGAATTAATGTACTGCTCACAGGATCTTGGTTACCTCTCAAGACAGGGTTGTTATAGAAGAGCAAGCCTGACTACACTCTACACTCTGACTTTCTGTCTCACCATGAGCTCTCTCCCTCTCATACATGCTCCTGCCATGATGCCACCTGTTGTTGAGGCCCCCCTAGATACTGAACCAATTGAAGCTATCCAATTTGGGACTTTTAGCTTTCAAAACTGTAACCCTAACAAATCATACTAATACAAAGCATACTAATACAAGCCTTATAATGATCCTGTGAGCTAGGTATCCAAGGAATCTATTTTTCAGATAAAAAAATAGTTCCCAGAAATTTTGAGAAGCTTGCTTTCACAGCTGGAAATGGGTTTTAAAATTTACCAACTTCCAAAATCCATATCTAATTTTATCTGGGAGAGAGGATGAAGCTCAATCTCCACCTACTCCTAAAACTAGCTTTAATGTTATACAAACACCAGAAGGTGTTAGAAAGCAGTCACCATAAAACCTACTAGTTAAAAAAAAAGTGACAAAAACAAACCCATGAATCCAAACCAAATCACTCTTCTTCTAAAGGGAATAATGCCAATAACAAGTGCAAAGATGGCCATATGTGTTTCTTAGAGCAGTTAAAATGAGTATGTCCCTCCACATTGAAACAAGGCACAACTCAACTGGCAGACCTCAGCAAGCTCTGACACTAGTCTAAAACTCAGAGTGGGGAATACCCTGAAGGCATCCAGCACCACTGGGTGGAACTCTGAAGACCCAGGAAATGTTGGGGAATAGCAACACTCTAAGTTCTAGAAATAAAGCATATGGAAGTAAAGTAAGCCAACCATTACCTCCCATGTCCCTGGCCACAGTGACTGATACAGGAATAGGTTTAAAACGCTAATCAATTCCAAAATGTTGGGGAACTAGCAACACTCTAAGTTCTAGAAATAAAGCACATGGAAGTAAAGTAAGCCAACCATTACCTCCCATGCCCCTGGCCACAGTGACTGATACAGGAATAGGTTTAAAACGCTAATCAATTCCAATGTCGACAATATTAGGGCTTTCGTAGAGAACAGTGCAACAAAGTTGTTCATTTTTCTGTTGGGCAGTGGATGAAAACACACACCGCTGAGACTGCATTCTAAGGAAAGGAGTATAAGTGAGTGAGTCTCCTGATTGTCTTTAAGTGTCAACGTGACACTCCCTAAAGTCACCTGAAAGGAGACGCTTTGAAGGATTGAGGGATTTCCTAGATTAGGTTAGTCTGTGGGCATGTCTGTGAGGGATTGTCTTTATTATTCATTGATGTATGTGGCCCAACCCACTGTGAGTGATACCATTCCTCAGGTCCTGGCCTATATCAAAAAAGCTAGCTAAGCATGACCCAGAGGCTAGCTAACAAGCAGTGTTCCTCCATGATTCCTGCCTCCAGGTATCTGCCTTAAGCTCCTGCCCTGACCTCCTCGATGGATTGTGATGGATTGTGATGGAAGGGGAAGCCAAATAAGTCTTTTCTTCCCCAAGTTGCTTTTGGTCAGAGTATTTTATCACAGCAACAGAAATCAAACTAGAACAGTGAGTTTTAAAATGCATACAAGATGGGTGTGAAAGCAGCAAAATTGCTCAAGAGATTATCTCTGAACAGGAACAACATGAAAGGTGCTCTGGGATAAGACCACACCCACAGAAAACTCCAGCTTATGAAGATGTGAATCCATTTGAAAGGAGAAAGTTTGAGAGTACCACCAAAAGGGTTTCTTGATGTAAGCAACTGTCTAGGCAAGTATTTCCTCAGATTGAGCCTTGAGAGCATACAGAGGCGACTGTAATTGCGGTCCAAGGAGGCCAGGACGTGTGCTGAGAGAAGAATGACATCGGTTTTGCAGATGTGAAAGAAGTTAAGAGTGAGAAGATTATAGAGGCTTACACCGAGGGTCCAGAAAGCTGCTGAGGTAGAGCTGTATGCTGAGAAACTGAAGCCTGGCTAACTGTAATTGTGGTCCAAGGAGGCCAGGACGTGTGCTGAGAGAAGAATGACATCGGTTTGGGAGCAGATGTGAAAGAAGTTAAGAGTGAGAAGATTATAGAGGCTTACACCGAGGGTCCAGAAAGCTGCTGAGGTAGAGCTGTATGCTGAGAAACTGAAGCCTGGCTTGCAATAGAGATTCTAGGATATTGGAAATAACAGATCATGTGACATCCACCCAGGAAAGCTGCAGGCATGAAGTAGAGCTGGTCCAAGAACAGACCGTTTGCTACAGGTGGCACAGCTGGAGGAGCAGT